ATAGCCACAATTCACGGCAAGAGACGATGGTCTTGAAAAAAAACAGCATAAGAACCTGGACTCAACAAGAAACTATTATACTGAGAATCTACCATATGACTCCGTTGGGCAGGCTAGGTGATCCCAAACAATGTCTCACATTCTCATCAAAAGCCCTGTGTATCCAAGTCTCCAGCAGCCTTAGCCCCTTCGTGGGACACTTATGAGTATCTGGCACGTGCGATTTTCATGTGAGGGTTTGGAAAATTTGTGCTGATGTTTCACCAAATTTGAAGAGTTTGAGCTAGATAGGAATGGGGGTGTCTTGGGTAATTGTGCATACGTTCGCGGGCAATCCCTTTAGTTGAGCTTCAGCGAGATTCGGGTTTTGCGCCATTGTGAAGAAAGCAGCTTTGATTTGGAGGTGCCTGGTGAGCCCCGCCAATTCTGTGCAGGAGGACAGGCAGTGGGGCTTGCCACCAACTGACAATAAAACCGCCCCAGAGCAACTTCACGTCTCGAGCGGTGTTACGGTGGTTGTTATGACTGTAAGTAATTAGCGTGCCTAAGGAACAGTGGAGAGTGTTTATATATATATATATGCAGATATGGGGCGTCGATGTGGTGAAGCCACAAATGAAATCCTAACTCATTTGGCTTCACAGATTTGTCAGGGTTCACCTGAGATAGCGGGAAGGGGGTGTTTGGTAGTTTCCCTAGTTAGAGGGACCCAATACAGCCCCGAAAATATGATAACTAGATTATAACACTTACCTACTATAGAAACCGCGACAAAAAGTTATCCTGAATATTGGCTCACCACCATTTTCTAGGGTGGATCATAGGGTTGCCAGTGTTCCTACCCGCGCAAGCAATATCCGACAAGTGCTGGCATGGAATGATTGTACTTGGGGGTGCGGTTTAGGGTTTAGCGGGGGGGTCAGGGTACTTAGTAATTATGTTAAAAGTTGGATACCTGCGGTTATGATGTGGCTGATGGATCTTTTGCAAGGAAATTCGAGGTGGGACCCGCAGGGTTTAGGCTTTGGGAATTTGGGGCTTTGGGGTTCTGAACCCCCAAACCTAAACCCTGGCCTCAAGCCCTGAACCCCACAACCCCCAAGCCCAGAGCCCTTCTCTTGAAGATTCCTACACATGCCCTTAGGCTGAGGCTATCTCTTCGTTCGGGTAGGCCTTAGGGAGCCAAGAAAAGAAGTAGATCAAAGGTGGATCTTAAACCCTTCAGCCCTACTTCCATTAAAGGGACTTTACTGGGAACCCCAAACAGGGAACCCCAATAATATGGTAGGAATACAATAGGAATATACTTACTAGGGTCTTTATATCATTCTTTCAGTAAAGTCCCTACTTCCATGAAGGCAACCCCTTTGGGGCCCTTGTCTTGTTGGCCTGAGGGAGAAGTGGAGTGGAGGGCTGATTTTTTGGAATTGTGTGGGCAATAGAACTGGGTTCCCCTAATCGATCCTAAACTCTACATCAAAAGTAGGTAACAAATAGTAGCCCAAAGAGAGAGAAATGGGCGATTCTTCCACATGCTTTTGGGGTCCCATAGCCTTAAACCGTATACTCAAATCCCTAAGCACCAGTAAACTTGCAGAGAGGAGCGGCAGCAAGAGCTCATTGACGCAGCGGGACAACGCTTGGCTTCTAAGGCCATGGGTATGGCTACCGTTCTGGGCCTAAACCCTAAGGGTTTAGGGGCCTCAGGGTTTGGGGTTCAAGGTTTGATGTTCAGGGCTCCGGGTTTGATATTTATTGTTGAGGGTTCCGGGTTTAAGGTTCGAGGTTAAGGGGTAAGGGTGCAGGATTCAAGGTTTAAGGTTCAAGGAAGAAGGTATGCAGGGTTCTGGATCACCCTAAACCCTAAACGCCAAACCCTAAGGGTGGGGGTTCAGGGTGGATGGCTTACCCAAAGGCTCAGAGTACCCAAACATTGGGTTTATGGCACCAACCACGAGCTTTAGCGGTATTTGAGATCACATAAAACCCTCAATATTGGGACCATAGAGGTTGAGCCTAGGATTTTATTCAGACTTTCGGATGAGTGAAAAGTTTGGTCAGGCATTGGGGATGCGTATAATATTACATGAGCTATAGTCTAAACTCCTTAAGGAGGGTTATATGGGGACTTATATGAGGGACTACTATAGGGCTTATTGAGGCGGATACTGGGAGTTTAGACTATGGCTCATATCTCATA